TGTGTATGTGAGTATGAAAAGTGTGTACCCAAAACAAAATTGAACAAGATATACCTCTTATGAAATGACACACTACCATTTGAAAAGTATTCATGATGTGGCTGTTCGGCACAATCCAAGAATCTGACGATGAAATGTGTCATTGTATCTGAAAAGTGAACGTGAATTAGGAAATGCGGAGTAAAACATTGAAAAGTAAGGCGTCATCAACTCACCGCCTTCAGTAAATAAAGAGCATATCCTTTTGCCCCACTCAGACTTCGCTTTCCCTCGCCCTGTATGTGCTGTTTCAGGCGTCCATACTCCAGACGTACGTGAACGTCACTGCTTGCGTATGGAGTGCAAAGGAAAGTGTCAACTAAGTCCTAACATCATCCCGCTCCTATCGAGTTCTTTCTTTCTCTGTATTTTTCCTTCATTTCTTTTTTAATTCTTATCTATCTCTTCATTTTTCTCTATCTTACTCACTAATCTACTCCGTCTTAAATTTTCTCCTCTATATCTTTCCTAATGGAACTCTCCAGTCAATGGAGAGGATCCAAATTCAACATCATCATCCTAGCCTACACGAGTTAATTAAGGGAAACTAACTCTTTGATTTTAAAATATTTTCAGAGTTACCCCCTCCGTCCCGAAAAGGTTGGCCAAAGTTGACTTTTACGTGGATTAATAAAGTAAAAACTGTGTGGTTGAAATTTGAGCAGAGGAGAGAGAATTAATTTTAGCCACATATTCCTTACATTAAATGGAAATGACAAATCTTTTTGGAATATCCAAAAAAGAAAATTTGTTCAACTTTTTCGGGACAGAGGGTGTATATCTTTCAGTGTATAAGACATAACTCAAGAATATATCTTGAGAAAATTTGAGAAAACATATACGGAGTATGACATGTGCCAAGCACTTGTTTTGATAGTATTATATTGCATGCATATGTATATATATAAAGAAGTTGTTCCAAATAATAGAAGCAAATTAATTAAATGTATATAAAGATCAAAAATAAAACTTTAGAATTAAATTGTGATGCATAGGAGTAAAAACATTAGAAATTCCAAAATAGGATTATAATGTTTTTATTCCCTAAATATGAGTAATTTCTGCCAAGTTTGGCATTATCAGACTTTAAACATGGTAATTTTTTCCAACGTTGACAGAAATTACTCTTATTAGCTAGAGAATAAAAACATGATAGTCATATTTTGGAATTCAAAACGTTTTAACTCATATTTAGGGAATTCTCCCGTAAAACTAGTGATATTATCATTATGTTTTAGGGGGTGTTTGGAACTGATTCTAATTCTGCTTCTTTTTTAAAGAAGAAGCAGAATCAGAATCAGTTTTCAGAAGCTGGTACCCTCCCAGCTTCTAAAAAAACTGATTCTGAGAGTAAATTAGAGCACCAGAAGCGCTTCTGGAATTTCACCCAAACATTCCAGCTTCTGCTTCTGCTCCCTGAAGGAGCAGAATCAATTTTGAGAATCAGATCCAAACACCCCCTTATTCTCATAAATCATAATATCACTTACTTGGTACTAATAAAAGAATGATTGAATGAACCAAAATAGTAAAATTTCAATTTTTGGGAAAGGAAAAAAACGATTTGTACGAGGATGTATGTACATGATTTATAGATATTCTAAGCAATCATAAGACCTAGCTAGAATAATTTAAGTTAGCAACTCCATTAATATAAGATAGTATCTTCTGTTTCTTTTTTCTGTTTATTTTTTGCAGTTTGGGAGCTCATAGGGTGAGAGGGGAGTCACCTCATGGCTGCTATTGCAACAAGTTGGTTCATCTCTTACGCATATTCGGACATGCAAGCCAAAGAGATGACGTGAAAAGACAAGGGAAAAAACACATACTGGTGAAAAAGAATCTTAATTAAAGAAAAGGAAAGCAAAAAGAAAAGTAAATGAAGGACAAGAAAACAACTTGTTCATTATACGTGGATTAAGGATTAAGTGGATTAAGGATGACCACTTGTTCATTAATTCTGTTGAACATATACCCATTGAGAATTATAAGTGGATTAAGGATGACCACTTGTTCATTAATTCTCTTGAATGCTGCATGACGTGTGTCCCAGTTTTTCCTTAATTTTTAGGATTAAGGAACCTTTTTTGGCTGCTCAGTTGTGATTTATGAACCCATTCAAAGTGAGGAAAGCCCCCTCAGGTGGACTTCACAATTTCCACCTTTCGAATATATACCCTGCAGGTTCACATTTGGCGGTCTGGTTAGTGGTTTAAGATTCAATTCCAATAATGTGAACTCTTTAATTAATCTTTAAATAATGTGAACTCTTTAATCTTTTACTAAACTTAAACAGACCAAACTTAAACAAAACAAACCACATCAGACTTAAACAGACCAGACAATATCAGATTTTCATTGTTATAAAATCACATACATAGATCACACTTTAACAGATCATATCAGACAAATTTATACCAGATGAGACAAGCAAATTTTAATCCAAGTAAAAACATCCTACATTAAACTTTACATACAATTACTCCAATTCTCGTAGTACACACTCATATCTCTAAAGGTTGTTTCCAAAAGGTTGTTAACGTAAAATACACTAAAGATTTTTGTTTCTAAGTTCTAAATTTAGAAACATGAAATATAGCCTAACATAAAATATAGCCTAACGTAGGCTTTTTGTTTCCTAAAATATAACTTAAAGATTGCGTCATGATATTAAATGCATAATATCTTGTATCATAAACATAAATTATAGAAACACAAAACGTAATAGAAAGTATTAAATAATTATTATATATGATGACATGACAAGGTTATGTATCACTTTGTATGATCTTAAAAAATTCTTCTTTTATATATATATACATATATATTGATTCTCGAAAGGAAACTAAGATAGTTTTATTTTATTCATATTTAGGGGATTTTCTCTTTTAGTGACGTACAAAGAAAACACACATCTTGGAGTTTCGCCAGATGTAGCTTTTTCAAGTAGTCTTTTCTAACAGGATGACACCCCATCCCTGAGGCCCCCACTCCCGACCGGACAGTACGTTGGGAGGATGTAAGTTGGATTATAATCCCAATCTGACAGATAGAGAGTGAGACTCTGTCCCCGGTACTTGCAGATCAAGTAATCTTTTCTAAAGTAAAGGGCTGTGACCATTTTATTTCTTCATTAATAATTTATATGGTCCAAATTCAAAAATAACCAAACAGTGATGCTGCCATTTTCTGTTATTTGCTTTATTGTGTGTTAGAAGTGCGACACCAGCAAGGCTTCCCTCATCCATTGGTCATCATAAATGTATTGATGTAACACTAATGGCAGGCCACATCAGGTCAACTCTCTTTTCTTCCAACTAACTCTAGTTACTATATTAACTTAACAATGAAGTTATTCAAATGAATCTTTGCTGTTGAAAAATCCAAACGTCATTTTGTGTTTAGTTTTTCATTGACCAATCTCACAACTCTCATCATTATGATTGGTATTACATGGGAAAAGGTGCAAATAAGACCTTGAATTAATCAAAAAAATGTAAATTACTCCTTTTTATAGAAAACTCTGTCCGGCCGTCGCTATTTAGGGGGGTTCCCGGTGGAATTTTTTGAATAATTTTTTAAAGAATCTTCTTCACTAAATCTAGTTTACTCATACCAAATTTCAGTTAAAAATTCAACCGGGAAGGCAGTCAAATGATTTTCTGAAATATACTGCGCGGTTTAACTGCGCAGTTATCTTCAAACAATTATTTAACTGCCTTCCTGATGCATTTGTAACTGAAATTTTGTATGGATAAACTAGACTTAATGAAGAAGATTCTCCAAAAAAATCATTAAGAAACTCCACCAGTAACCATCCCAAATGGTGACGGCCGGACAGAGCCTCCTAAAAAAGGGGTGATTTGCATTTTTTCGGTTAGTTCGAGGGCTTATTTGCCCCTTTTCCCGGTATTGTAATTTTAATAGAATTTGATCACATACAAAATTAAAACAGATATCATTTGGAAATTGATTTTTTGGATTTCCTTCTAAACCTATCATATCATCTGTTTGGAATAATTTCAACATCCTTGATTGCGATGAGACTCGAACATGTGACCTTAATCCTTTTTGAGAGATCAACAGTGATGTCAGCTACTTGACTTTGGGCGATTTAAAATAATCGTTTTTTCAACGCGGTAAGTATTTTTTTGCAACCGAATCTATAAAATCTAAATCTAATACAGATCTAAAAATGAATACTATCTCCATCTCTATATAAACTCCCTTGTTTAATTTGAGCAGCACACATTTAATTTATGGAAACAATTGTCTTCCTTTTACTTCCTGAAATGCCATTTTTAACATGTACACCAAGAGTAGTTAGGTCCTCCAATCCGCTAATTACGACTAATACAAGTTTGAATCTAGACGCGATGTGAGTTAACTTCACTTGGTTGGTACAGTTATTTTTTGAGAAAAGCGTCAAATAAAGCATTCTACTATTATGAAATGATCAGATTATGTCATGTACTCAATAAAGTGTCATATAAATACTTCTACTTGTAAAAAGCAATCAAATGAGTCATAATGACCTATTTAACACCTCTTAATCCCGGTTTCAAGCAACGTACTTCTGACATTCTTTTTAGAATACATTATACGACATATGTCGAATATTTAATTAAGATTGGTTGAAATACAAATCAAAAAATCGACATGTAAACTAAAATTGGGATTAGGAGGTGTTAAATAAGTCATTAGGACTCATTTGATTGTTTTATACAAGTAGATGTATTTATATAACACTTTATTGGGTTGATGATCTTATGTGACTATTTCATACTAACAATAAAAAACCTTATTTAACCATTTTCTCTTATTTTTTTAGATAGAGTAGTTACGGATGAAGTTGTTACTCGTTCCAGGGTGCCACGTGTCTCACTATAAAAGTTGAGTGCGTGTGCAGATAAATATATATAGACATGCACGTACAGAGCAATTATTGCTCTATTAGCTTACAAATTATGGGTTCTGATCAATGTATTTGCAGCACAGACTTAGAGTTGGGGCTGGGGATGGGGTTGGGGATGGGGTTTTCCCACACCAGTAATAATATGTTTCATGCGGCGGCAGAAGTCACGTCGGCGGTGGCGGTCCGGCAGCCGTCGCTGAATCTGAGCCTCTCTTGTGAAACCTTTGATAAGGACTGGAACAAAGACCGGGAATCCTCGGACTTGTACCGACAGGACAGCGCCGCTTCGTCGTACCTGTCGAACGCCAACGTTAAAAGGGAGAGAGAAGTCTGCGGTGCCGTATTTGTAAGAGCTGAGGCGGCGGCGGCGGCGGAGAGAATTTGTTCAGGAGCAGTGATGTGGGAAAATAGTGACGTTGGTAGTAAGAATAATTATGCAACGAAGAACAAGAAGCAAAGGCTCTCCAAATCTCAGTCTTCTCTTTTAGAAGAAACTTTCAAGCAAACCACCACTCTCAATTCGGTAACTTATCCTTATTATTTCATCATCATTACATTTTTTTGCCTCTCTAAACTTCTCTCCTTTCCTTTTTTTTATCGGTTTCCAAAAATTATTCACCATCTCATTTTAATGAAAATTTTAACTAATATGTTTCTTTACGTAAGGCTCGAATTAATTTGAATGATTAAATATAGAGTGAATATAGGCAATACAGTACAAATAAAGTGTACAGAAGTTTTATACTTTTAATAAGGAGAGATTTATCTAAATAGGACTAAAATAAGGTAGAATTGTAAAAATAGGACTACTATGTTTTATTTAACACAAATAGGACTAAAAAGAGGTAATCTGACAAAACTACCCTTAATTAAAAAAAACCACCTCTCTGCCTTCTGCAATTCATCGGTGATTTCTTCAGAGCAAGCTGCGATAATTTCCTACCATGGATTACAGCTCCGCCGTCGATTGTGCCCTCGCACCACAGCGGCGTTTGCCGTAGTCCTGCACTCATCAGCTACGAGGTAAGTAATCTCTTCTTCTTCTTCTTCTTCTTCTTAGCTTCCTCTTCCTCCATCTAGTTCTCTGCTTTTTATTTTTATTTTTTATTAATCAGATTTTAAATAAAACTTTGATTCTTGAAAGTTTCAAATGAAGATATATGTTATCAATTTTTAGTACTTTGAATCTCAAAATGCCCTGACTAATGATTCTAGAAAATGTCACTTTTTGAATAAGAGAATGTCATAATTATTGGGTATTTTTACAAAATGTCACTTTTATGTCATTACAATATTTGGAAATGCCATATTGAGAATGTCATGTGTCTATACGAAATTGTCATTATTGTGTCATTATGCATAAGGAAAAACATGTCATTTTCAAGCTATCCTTAAATGACATAAAAATAAACATGTCAATTTTTTAAAAATGACATCATGTGTGCTGTGATGTTAAAATAAAGTTGACATTTTGGAATAGAAAGATGACATTTACGGTTGTTACAGTTATTAAAACAAGCCATAATCTGAAATTCAAAAGAAGCACAAAACATAAAAGAAATAGGGGGAAGAAGAAGAAGAAGAACAAGAAGGAGAAAGAAGGAGGAGAAGAAGAAAAAGGAGATGGAGGAGGAGAAGAAGATGATGATGAATACATGGTTTTGATGGAGAGATCGTTGCAGAGGTGGCGGTCGACGTCGAGCAGCCACCTGCGATTATAGCAAGTCGGTCGAGTTGCTATCGATGGCGGTTGAGTTGCGTCCATGGAAGCTGAGTCGCAAGGGGAAATTGTAATCCCAGGTCTCGCGATCGGTGCAGAGAGATTGGGGAAAAGGTGATTTAGGGATTAAGGGTAAAAATGTAATCTGGAGTCCCATTTAAGCAATTTAAAACTTCAAGTCCTGTTTTGGAGTTTTAACCATGTTTTAGTCCTATTTAGAACAATTTCTTTTTAATAAAATAATACTACGTATAAATTATACTGCAATTAAAAAGTAGCTATTCCTACACTTTATTTAGATCTACTAAACTAATTGTGCATGGGGCTAAAAAAACATACACGGTTCAACATGGCTAAACAAAATAAGAGGTTTCTGAACCCAAAACTTATGCATAAAAGTATGATAAAAACAATTATTCATAAAAGTATGACTATTAGTTACGGAGTAATTAATAACTATAAGCATATACCGAATATTCATGATGGCTGATGTGTAAAATTTAAGATAAGAATAGTCTCTAAAAGTTACTATTATGGTCACAGGCATGGGTGGTATAAAAATCATACTTTCATCTCTAATACTCCCTCCATCCCAAAATAATTGTCCTACTTTGACCTTCACACAATTAACAAAATGAAGTTGACTTCACACTGTAGCCACACAGTTCGACACTGTAGCGACACTGTTTGGCACTTTGCACTGTTTGACATTGTTTTGTATAGATTTGTTTACCAAATATGGAAAGTTTCAAAGTAGGACAATTATTTTGGGACATCCATTTTGAGAAAGCAGAACATTTATTTCGGGACAGAGGGAGTAATATTTAGTCATATTGACGGCATTAAATTCATTTTGTGAATCAAATTAAATTCATTACTAAGGGCTAATATTATTCGTACCAAGGGCTAATATTATTCGTACCAAGGGCGGCTATATAAAACAGTATATATAGCGACGAGGGCCAGTCCTAGAAAAATGAAGGCCCTATGCAAGAGAAAAAATCAGGCCTTTCATTTTCTTCTAAAAATTAGACCACTACCTATGAGGATGATAAAATGAAAATACTAATAAAGTAATAAACTATTAAAAATTTATGTCAAAATACCAATTACTACGTATTACTCCCTCCGTCCCCCTGTTATTTTCCCATTGCGGTTTACGATGCTTGACCGACGATAAAGCAAACAAATCCATGTCCGCACTCAAATTATTTTTAGGAAAAAAAATTACATATTCAGAAACTACATTAAAAGATTTACAAAGTCGCAAAAACCAGAATCAAATTTGATAAAAATTGATACATAAAGTAAGAGATTAAGTGTGATTTGTGTTGACCAAGTGAATAGGAAATGAGACAATAATAGAGGGACGGAGGGAGTAGCTAACAATTACAAACCCAAAAAACAAAATTTATTTATTTATAAAGTATAATAGTGAAACAATTACAAATTTTACAACTTAATTGCCCAAAAATATAAATTGTTAAAATCAATTACAAAATTAACATCTAAAGATCTAATTGATGTTGCGCAGTGAACTGTAATATACTACGTAATTGTTAAAAGCGAGAGGGAGCATGCGATTAAACGTGTCAGTCGTTACCCTTCTTTTATGTTGGCAGAATGACTTTGAGCTATTTAGACAATCTAATACTCGAGTGTGTAAGCATAATAAAACAAAGTAAACGGACGGGAGGATTGAATATTTTATTAAATGAAAGAAAATAAAATACTAGTAGTAAGATGAGAGAAATAAAATATTAAAGGTAATCTGCCTTGGGTTTGCTATTTTCCACTTAGCGAAATGCCCGTTGATCACATTCATTCATTGGTCATCTAATGAAATCAATTAAGATTGACAATCTCAACACAAACGGTTTTTCAGTTTCACCAATTCAATATAATTACCCTCTCTTACATTATTAACCAAGAGACGCATGTATTAATAATCTATGTTTACTAGTTATGAAAGGACCAAGTGAATAACAAGCTTATTCATTGACCGATTCTAGCAAAAATTACTTCTACTTAGGAAATAAAAATATGTCAGTCCTATTTTGGAATTTCAAGACTTTTTCGTAGCATAGTAATATATATCATCGACCAATAGTCTATTACTAGAATACGAAGTATTCAAGTAGTCTGATCTCATTTTTATCAATATAAATATTCTTATGAAACATCATTTCAAATTGAATTATAAACAGATGATATGATTAATCCTTTCATGTTTTTGTAGAAACAAAAGCAACAATTGGCAAGGGAACTCAACATTAAGCCTCGTCAAGTGGAAGTCTGGTTTCAAAATAGAAGAGCCAGGTATTTATTGCATGGTTTAATTACACAAAAATACGTTGACGGCTCCCTTCATCCTTAAATTAGCTTTTAACAATGTAATTAGTTCGATATGAGGCATGTCGCAATTGGCTGCGTATAGTCCCATTTTTGTAACAATCTTTAATTAAATATTTGATTGTTTTGTGTGTGTTAAGAACAAAGCTAAAGCAAATAGAAGAAGATTACGAGTTGTTAAAGAAATGCTGCGAGAAGTTAAGGGATGAGAACGTGAGGCTAGAGAAAGAGGTACAGGAACTGAAAGCTGTGAAGCTATCGAAGCCCAGCTTTAGCATCCATTTACCGGCGGAAGGGCCGGGAAAAGCTTCTTTTATGATGACTTATCTCAGTCATTTCTACAGCACAAAATAGCCTGCCCACCCGCAGCTTGAGTATATGTAGTATATATTTTGTAATTAATTAAAACGGTATATATTCAATTATTACATATCATTATGGCTATTATTCTCGTGTAGTCGTGTGGGATGATTTATTAATTGTTATTAGTTATTCAAGACTTAGGCATTTACTTCACTGCTAAAGTCACAATGAGGTTAGTAAGACAGGTTAAGTAAACATGCAATTCGGTTAAAACGATGCTTACTAATCGAAAGAGCTGCTTAAAGTGACGCTTACTAAGCATATCATCCCCGTGTATTAATTAAGCGGCACTTTAAGCTTTTTTAGTTTCAATTCCGAATTTACCCTTACCTTTACCCCTTACCCTTACCCTATTGCTACCCCACTACCCCTCCCTACCCTACATTACCCCGACCCCACCCAACCCCACCCTTGACCTGACCATACCCCACCCCCACCTTACCCCTACCTGATCCTGCCCTCCACCACCTGCCCTACCCCACCCCACCCTTACCACTTACAATACCCTCTTTAATAACATTTCACTTTAATGCCCAACTAGTATATTAATACTAGTCCAATTAATTCCAACAAACAAGGTTCTCCATTCATAGTCATATAGACAAATTCCAACTGATTTTTCCATTGAAAATATCATTTACATCAATATACAGAATATCACTTTTAATCACTCATATATCCTTATATGAAGTAACAAGTATGTTACAACATGAATTTCATAGTTAATTTCCACTATCAAGTAATCATACTCATAACACATGATTATACACAATTTACTCTTAAATTTGTATATCATGCTCTTTCCCTTATAGACCATAGTCTTCTCATTCTCAGGCATTATTAATCATTAATAATCCATAAAAAACACATTTAATTACCTTAGGTAATCTCATGAAATTAACTCACTAATTATAAACAATATAGTCAGCTGACGAGCACTTTGTCACGGTGCGTCAAAATAAATCGATACTAACACTTATACGTAGTATAGGTGAAGTAGAGTTCGTATCCACATGGAAAGGAATAATTATCTTTTTAATGAAATAAGTAAATAAAAAGGGGGATTTGGATTGAGTGATTTAATTTAATTAAAAACTAAGATGAACGACTTATATGAGATTTAATTCAAAGATAAAAAGGACTTGGCATTGCTACTTTCCACTTGTTGATATATTTTAGTCGATCATTGTTATATCTATAACTTACTCCCTCTTGAATACTCAATCGAGGAGTATATCCAATTCATCGAGAGTAGTTATTAACAACGACCGTTCATTAATAACCCTTACTAATAGTCAAGTATAGAACACCGCCATATACCGACTTGATAGTAGCATTTAATCTCTTAACTCCTTGATGAAATCAATTGAGATTGATAACCTCAACACAACGGTTTCGGTTTAACCAACAAAATTAATTCCTCTTAAATTTATCAACCACGACCGCGCATTAATAAACCGAAGTTACTTACTTGTGAAACCATCAACAAATTAACCATCGATTCGTTGATCGTTTCTAGTAATAATTAATATATGAAACAAAACTAGTTGATCCTTTAAGTAATGTTCAAAATATTAATATGAAATATGAATAGGAATTAATTAATATTCAAGGAAGAATATTATTTAACGAGATGAATCCTACTATAATTTGATGGTCCCGGATAGGGTAAAAGTCTAGAGGGGGGGGGGGGGGTGAATAGACTTTTAAATCTTTTTCGACTTGTGAAAGTTTTCCCTCTAGATGAGTTGATCTATAATCTTTTGAGAGATTAATAGATGCACAGCGGAAGTCTTTACCCTTTGAGTAATGAGTGTTTAGCCACTTTCTAATTTGGAGAGTGTTTGGTTTAGAATGCTAGGAGTTGGCTGTGAATGCTAGCAGTTGGCTGAAGCAGTGGACTCGGCAGTTGGGTGAATATGAGGAAACTGTTGAGGCACCTGCTAGGGTCAAAAGCTTATTGGGTTAAGTAAACTTCTTGATGAGGTATTGACAATCTGGTGATGTTTGAGACAGTGACTTGAAACAAGTGTATATGAGCAGAGGGCTCAGTAGTTGGGTGGATTCCAGGGAACTGCTGAGGCACCTGCTGTACTTAGAAAATGAATTTCAGAGAACTGAAAGAGTGATCCTTTTAGATGTTGTTGGTGCACGTTATAGGTATGAATCCGGTCTCAAAGAAAGTGAGTAATTAAGCAGTAGGATGAGCAGTTGGGTCAATTAAGACAACTGCTTGGGATTCTGCTGGCAGACTACGATCTTTATGTGAGAAGTGTTTGGTGTGTGCTTTGTTGATTGAGATGACTTCAACACACGATATATCCTGGTTCAGAGGTGGTGTAATCCTCCTACATCCAGTCTCACTCTCTTTCAGATGGATTTCACTAAAGTATTAAGCCCAATACACTTAGTGCCAATCTAGCCTTTACAACACTTAGGCCTAGATTGAAGGTTTTTCACGATGAGTATAGCACCACTCAAAGTTACTCAGTCCTTAGACTTTTCTCTAATGAACCAGTGGGGATCAAAAGGTACTCTATCTATCTACTTACACTGTAGGATCGAACAACTGTTCTCCTAAGTGTTTACAGCAATATGTGATTTGTTACAAGAAAGTTCTAACCTCCAACTAGGAACTAAACTTCTATGATTTAGCAATGAAAAGCTTTGTAAACTGAAAGTTTAATGAAGCATGAGTCCAAGCAGAGAGTCGTGAATAGAACAACACTTTTTGCCCAAAGAAATATCTCTCTACTTAGGATGCTCAGGCTTGGTTAGAAACTTTCGTTTCTGCCTATTTTTATAGGCTCTCCGGTTAATTGATCTTATCCGTTGGTTAGGATAGATCAATCTTGTGCGTTGAATTTTGTTCGCAGAAGATAAACAACTTGTTGTTTATTTTCTTTTTCGGAGCGTATGGGTTCTGCTTGTCTTGCCTGCCTAGCCACTGTTGATGCCTTTTTAGGCTTCAGACTTATGCGCTCATGTTGTAGGTCCATGTACCTGTTGTAGCATTAACTTCCGTCTGTTTTTGTCTTCAATTGATTGCTGAAGTATTTCTTTTATTTGCGTCTTCAGTGCTCCGGGCCCTGTACGAATTTGGCATTAAATGCCAGTCAATCATCTATTTGATTTTTCGAGCTTCGTGACATACGAATAATATTTTTGAGTCAAATGGCATTTATCGGTAGGATTTAAGCATCCTATTAAGGCAAAGAAATTTTGCCTTATTCCATTTTTACTTTTCCGGTAATGTTTCATAGACCCAAAAATTGTACATTTAATTTGTCACGTTAATACTAGAATAAAATGAGACACAATATACACGTGCTTAGTATAGTGGCATCATCAAAATCTTATCAGACTTGGGTACTAACATAATTAATATCAAGATGTTAACTAATTGTCATCTTAACAACACTCCCCAATATTAATATAGAGGAAGAAAATACTACTCCAACTAATGTCAAGATGTTAACTAATTGTCATCTTAGCAACACTCTCCAACATTAATATAGAGATAGTATTAAGGAAAAAAATAATAATTTATATTCAAGGAAAGAAGTTAAGAAAATAACTCACAACTTTAATAATCAACAAGCTTCAAGAGCAACACCAAGAATGGAAGTTTAGCTCCTCATTTGGAGACTAAACATAGCTAGAAAAATATGAAGAAATATTATTCTAAACTGAGCTAAAGAGTATGGAAGAAGGGATGATTTTTAGAGAAGAAAAAGTGTGCTATTTATAGGTGTTTTTCAACACCTTTGGCCGGGTACCCGACCGGTTCAAGTACTTACCCGACCGGGTCCGGTTAAAATCAGATAATCCACCACGTTCTGGTGATCTTCGCACGCCGGGTTGTCCCCGGTCACTTCTCACCCAACCGGGTGAGGTATAGGGCCCGACCGGGCCAAGCATTTTCCTTGCTTCTTCGGTTGTTAAATCAAGCCCGACCGGGTGGGGATTTCTACCCGGTCGGGTTTTGCTCCTGGGCAGTCAAATTCTTTATTTTCTTCTCTTCAAAGTCCTCGTTTTGAATACCCAAATTCCTAGTTCTACTTTACAACTTACCAATGAAGATTAAAATACAATTACAACTAAAATTACACAAATGTTTACAAACTAAATAAAACGGTAAACAATCCACACAAATCAAACATAAAAACATATAATTATGCACTACTAATTAGTGTGCATCAAACACCCCCACACTTAAACCTTTACTCGTCTCGAGTAAATCAAATCCAGTCCAAGAAGTCCTTAAAATGACAAGAATATCAACGCAAAACATCCAAAAGTGTTTTTACCACAATACAAAGTAATCACAAAGCATCCCCAAAAGTAAATAAAGTAAAACGGGGTCTTCAGTTTCATCTTTATCTCCATTTCTCTTTTAAGTTTATCACCTTCAGGATCCTGCAAAATAGACATTTCTCTCCTTCTCTCGTTTTGCCTAGGTGCCCTTTCAGGTTTTCATCCCTGCTTCCAACATTTTTCTTTTAATTTTCACAACCTCACTCTTTATTTTATTGCTTTTATTTTTGCTTGAGTTGCCCTTTGTGGGTTTTCAACTCAACAAGCTCTTATATATATATATATATATATATATATATATATATATATATATATATATATATATATATATATATATATATATATATATATATATTAGAAAATACAAATGAAAAGAGTAGGATTGTGAGCATACCAGAACAATCTCCACACCGCCACACTTAGTATCTGACACTGTCCCTAGTGCCCGCCCATACCTCAACCTTGGTGTCTGTCCTCATCCATGTGATCCTCGCTATAACCACCATCATCGCCTCCACCACCGGAACTCGATCCTCCAAAGTAACCCCACTGAGTGGGATCGTACCATGAGGGTGCGGGAGGGAGAGTGTTCATAGAGGCAAAGGAGCCCTGGTGTGCTACATAAGAGTATATCGGACCAAAGGTTCGCCGTTGGTCCTCTTCATATCTCCGCCAGTCTTCTTGCCGTTGCTCCTCCATCCTCTCAAAGCTATGCCTCTGCTCAGTTCTATACTGATCAACTCGCTCCTGAAGTACGATGTAGTTGTTGTTGATCATGTTCATGTTATCGAGCATCTGTTGCTTGAATGGTGAGTATTGGTAGGCTGGAGCATCAG